ACATTGTTTAAAAAATTGTGTTTTATTTTTATTTCAGCATTACAATGATAACACGATGTCTTTCCCTATTTAATTCTTAAGCGCATACATTTTCGATCATTTATCGGCACAGTATTTCAGAATAAACGCAGTTATTTTGTGTCTGCGATCCGTCGGCAGTGGCCGAATATCTGATCATTATTTTCGCCTAAACACATTCGTTAGAGAGACGAATTCATGCCACTCAATTTCCTACGTGCAATATTCGCTGCAATTCTGTTGAGGCATTTTTTTAAGACTTCAAAGTTAAATTTAAAAACATTTGAAGCTCTTAATTTTAGCTTAATAATTGGTAGAATAGTGTGACATAAACCTTTTACAAATGTGCCACCATTCGCTACGTTTAAGCAAACGAATAATGATCATCTTAAGACATCCCGCTCCGTATGGCATTTTGAACTTTCTCTTCATGTTCTTAGCCCTTCTTTGAACCAAGTTATGTATACTCTTTTATTCACGTAAATACTACGATCCACTCGCCTGACAATTTCATGGAAGAAACTTCCCTCTTGCCAATAATGTTACTCCGTCAGAAGTCGTTGATGGGATTACAATGTTGTTTTAGGCTACAGAGATATTTAGTTGCCACTAATTTTAAGTTGAAATTTCTTTCCATCCAAAGTGCACTTATACAAGAGTGAAAGATAATTTAAATAGTTTGATTTCTTATATCCATAGCTTCAGAATTTATGTATGATTAAATCTCAAATGCTAACCTTTGTTTTGCCTATTTTATATATCCTTAAAAGATTTATATACATTCCTTTAAGTGTGCGCTTTTTTTAAGAATAGTAATGTGCATATGTATACAACCATCTTACATCTGTAGTACAGTGGTGGCCAAAATTGTGGACACTTTTGGAAATTTTTATGTTTTTGAACTTTGTATGCTTATAGAAAACGTTACGTTTCACAAAATGCAAACTTGTATATATCATTTTAAAGAGAATTTATTACTGAATTTAATACAAAACACAAAATTCAATTATTTGCAATACAAAAAAAAGTTAAACGGTAATAGTTATCGATATACATTAGATAGTGATGATTGCAGTGTGTTGTCAGTACTTAGTAGGGTACCCTTTATTTTTGATTACAGCTTCACATCGACGTTTCATTGAGCTGACAAGAGTTTTAAGCTCTTGTCAGCTCAATGAAACATGATGCCAGGAAACAATTATATCCTCAATTAGTTCCCTTTTATTTGATGGGCGCCTCATTCGGACAAGAGTTTTCAAACGGTGCCACAAATTTTCGATAGGATTGAGGTCAGGACTGTTTCCTGGCCATGACAACAATTTAATGCTCTTTGTACGAAACCACTCTTTCGATATTTTGGCCGTGTGGCAAGGAGCAGAATCCTGCTGGAAAAAAAGAAGCATTGTTAGGAAAGAGATCTCTGATGGAAGGTAGGAGTTTTGGTTCTAGAATAGTGTCAATGTATTTTCTGGCATTCAGTGTCCCATCGATGACATGAAGGCGACCATCTGCTGACATGCATGACCAAATCATAACACTAACTGGGTTCTTCACAGTTGCTTGAATGCAGTCAGGATGTAGCTCTTCTCCTATTCTACGTCTTACATATTTTCGCCCATCACTACCGAATAACGATATCTTAGTTTCATCACTCCATATAACTTGTGACCACTGATCATCTGTCCAATTAAAGTGTTCCTTTGCCCAATGTAGTCTTTGTTTTCGTTGCTGAAAATTAAGATAAGGCTTTTTTCTTGAAATTCTACCTCCCAGTCCAACATCTGTTAATCTTCTCCTGATTGTTCTTGAACTGACAGAAACACCAGCATCATTCAGATCACTTCTGATGGCCGCTGATGACATTTTTCTATCTTGGAGACATAGTAGTTTTATTCTTCTGTCCTCCATAGATGTGGTGCACCTTTTCCGGCCTTTTCCTTCTTTGTTTTTTATTGAATTTGTCTCCTGTTATCGTAAACAAAACTTTCGGACTTCAGATGTAGTCACTGAACCACCCGCCTGTCTTGCAATTTCAGCATAGGAAAGACCACTTTCTCGTAACACAATAATATTACATCTTTTTCTAGGTGTCCAATCTACTCTTTTATTTGATGTCATTACTTCTTGACTAAATATTAAAAATCTTTACAAATTTCCTACTTGTAATTGCAGTGTATAAGAAACAGGTCCTCCTTCTACAGAACAAAGCTAACTAATGAATTGTTTCAAGTGTAAACATGATGTCAGCTTCTACTGGCAGTTACTAACATTTGATTGGTTCTCAGAACAAGAACAGTGATTGGTAAGGAAAGCTAGACATTACAAACCACTTCATAACTGTGTTTTTTATTTATATTAAAGTACATATAACTTTTTTGTATTGCAAATAATTGGATTTTGTGTTTTGTATTGAATTCAGTAATAAATTCTCTTTAAAATGATATATACAAGTTTGCATTTTGCGAAACGTAACATTTTCTATAAGCATACAAAGTTCAAAAACATAAAAATTTCCAAAAGTGTCCACAATTTTGGCCACCACTGTATTTTATTCAATTTTATGCATTTCTGGCGGCAAATACTTCAGATGCATGCTCATGAACATTACTGCTTGACTTGAATAAATTCATAATTTGTGTCCAGGAATGATGAAATTAATTTATTTTCCAAGTTTTGAAATACATCTTTTACCTCATTTGCAACTTTCATAGTTTATGCATATAAATAATTTTCGGTTTTATCTGGTAAGATAAGCTATATCTACCACCGCTGTGAATTTAAACTTGCAGAATGAAATGTAGACAGACATGGCATTTCGGGAACATATGTTTCTGAATATATTAATTCCATGCCAGTAGGCTTGCGTTACTCGTGCATAGATTATTCCAGTTTAGTCTACACATTGTGACATAATAGAGGTTAAACATAAATTACAGCTCAGCGACATTATATTTGCATCGCGACAATGCTCTTTCCACATGTTAAGCATGTAATCAGTAAAAAAACATTAGAAATAAAATAACATACTGCTTTTATTTCATTTTCGTTTAAGACACAAAAGCTGGAGCTTTATATGTGTTGTAATATATTCTTATAAAAATAAAATATTAGCAAAAACAGTTAATTTAATCTTATCATTTAAAATAATGTATGTTACGTTCGTTTCCAAACTAGTTTGCGCGCATATAAACATTAAAAAATTTAATTTAATGAATATTCAATTCATCAGCATGCTATTATTTTACTTTTAATTAGTGCAGAATGTTTTCCAAAAAATGAGTAACCGCAAGAAAATCTAAAAGCAAGAGCAATAGGAAACTTTGAGCATATAATTCTTTAATTAGTGGTTAGAAATCTCAAAAATATGAAATAAAGTAAGTTGAAATTAAATTTTGCATTTCTAATCTTTTTAGGTTGTCTTTAATGCGGCGTTTCCTTTTGATTATAAGATTACTCTATATATCTTAAATTACGCAAGTGGCATTCCATCTGTGACCCAATGATGTAAGAAGGTATTTCTTCCTGCTTATGGCGTGCACTCATGGTAAAACTGGAAACACGTCCGGCTGATAATCCAAAGTTCTAGAATTTGAATTGTAAACGTATCATTGATTTTTCCTATTTCTTTTCTTTAACAAACTGAATAAAACTGGTGCTTAATCTAAAATATGGTGGACGATAATTCCGTACAACAGGATTCGGCGAATCCCGCCTCCCTCGTCACCTCTTAACTGGGAAAGAATGTAAGGTATCCTTTCCGTAATTCCAGCGTGTCTTCCTGGTTTAGTTAAAACCATGTCCAGTTAGCAGTCGGTATGTCCACAGTTCGAAGCCCGATTTTTCTTTTTTTTTTTCTGGTTCAAAAGTTCCAATGACTCTGCAGCGAATATAAAAAATTCAGCAGTACACTTCGCTAGAAGACATATCTCTAGAAGTCTTGTTTAGAATCAAGGCGGTGTATGAATCTCAGAGTGAAGTATGATCTAGTAAATATACTGATAATTTATTTGTCATTTTTGGTTTAATTTATTTCCAAATAATATGTTATACTCAGATGCATGTCTTGTATTCTAATCTCAGTTGTTGCCTGGAGTTTACACATTTACGTAGTTGAAATATTGTGTGAAAACGTTTTTCCCGATTGCGCTAAATGTAATAGATTCAACTAATTAGATTGGGTGAGTTAAAATTAAATCCTCGATCAGTGCCATGTTTAATACAAAGTATGTTTTGAGATATTGATCAGAATTTAAGAAAACGAAAATCTTTAAGTTTCCAGATTCTATATTACGCCCAAACGTGTGTTACCTTTATTTATTAAATATCATGTTCTTCGCACGTCAACCACGTAAAATTAAATTCAACAGCAATATCACAAAATATTTAAAAACAGCCAAACAACATATCTTTAGAATTTCTGACACGCAGTCTCGCGTACTGGATATAAAAATGTTGTTTGCCGTACAGTGTTGCCAATGCTTGCTTTGAAATCGCTGAGTTTGTGAATAAAAAATTCGTTAAAGATTTACAAAATTTCAAATAGAAGCAAAATAAAACAAATTAAAAATTCGGGCTTCCAAGTGAACATATTGGCTTGGAAAATTACGCTACTCAAAATTCGATGGCTCTAGGTACAATTGTTTCTTCACAATACGAGAAACATTCATGCATGTTCATGGACATTCTTCATTATTTAGTTTCTTCAAATGTAACACAGGGTGATAGTATTTGGTGGCAGCATTTGAAAAGTGAATCAACGCAGAAAGTGAAACGACGCAAAATGCCGTTTTGAGACTAATAGCCCTTTGGGACTAACACCCCTTTATGCTAAAAATGTTCATATCCCTTAGTATAATGCCAAAAAATTACGCATTAATTACCATTTCTTTCATTCATTTTAAGATATTCATTAAGCTTGATATTAAACAGATCGAAAGAAATTATTCTTTTTATATTAAAATCAAATGATAAATTTTACTCACCTGCCTATGAGAAGAAACTCTCCTGTGGCATTTAGCCTCCTCATTGCCTTAAGAAGCCCTCTAACAGTCATACCCTCACAGAAGCACACCACTACTTTTGCATTGGGGTACTTCTGAAGATTACGAATGATCTGGTCGAAATAGTAGTCCTCCGCGTGGCTCAGGATGGAATCACTTGCCGCTATGCAGATTCCTGCTTCATGAGCCAACTTCACAAAGGCGTCCATACCGCTGCCACCATAGTTTCCTGAAATACAAATGTTAAATGAAGTAGCTTTTATCAATACATAAATCAATTTTATGAAACTGCGTGGTGAAGAAAAAAAATCACACAAATTCCTATTTTTAGAGGAGGTATTTTATGTAAAAGATGAGGTATTAAATTTCAGTTATAGGTATTACATTTATTAGGAAATAACATCATTCGATTTAGCAGTATAGTAGCGGATAACAAAATGACCTATTAATTTAGATAGGTAATTATTTAATTAAGAAAAAAGAAGCTTCAGTACTAACAATCTGTCACTGAGCAAACACATCTGAGTATGTAAGATGCTTTTTCTCAGAATCTGATATGGTCACTATTTTTCATATATTTTGACATGATTTATCTTTAGGTAGACAAAGGATACGTTAATATTAAAAGCCATGTTAGTAGCACTTAGTAGTCATTTAATGGTTTCCTGTGACAGTTTCCTGTAGTCATTTAAAGAGTTTATTTAATTCTAGTAATTCTCAAAATTGAACTTTCATATAAAGTTACCATCAATAAAAATCCTATTTTGTAAATCTTTCATTTTTATATTGTTCAATACAGTTTTTAAAAATAATTTCTTTTAGCGTTTTTTTAAATATTCGCATACTTTAAGATCTTAATGGTCCGTTGTTGTTTCTGTTTTAGATTTCCATGCTTATTTAGGTCTTGAGGTATGTATTATCCTCATTATTTTTAACCTAAGATGATATTCACGTTATTTCGTTGTACAGTTGAGGGGAATATTTCTCTTTGTTTACGGTAATTTCCATTGTCCTGAAGTTTGAAATTTTCTTAATTTTATTACATCTATTTTAAGCTCTAGATTAAAACTCAATGTAATGAACAAAATTAACAGAAATATTTTACATATCTTATACTAATTTGTGATATCTTCTCTTACCGAATATTTATTTTAATTTTAATAAATTTTAATAGTTTTAAAATTTAATAAATTAAATGTAATACATTTTACTACTAACACATTTCTAAACTTGTCTTAGAGAGGAATATTTTACTAAGGAATTTGAATTTTTTCTCAGGAGTGGGTTATATGAAAGCCAAAAGAACCTTAAGAGATTATAAAAAGTTAAAATAAAAATTCATTGTTAATAAGACTATTTTTCTAGAATATTTTGGAGAGAAGACGAATAGTGAAATTTAGAATATCCTTTATTTAAAAAAAAATTATTTACAAACAATAGTAACACCCGAGGTGCAATTTTGTGCCAGTATCACTCTTTTCAAATCAAAAGCATATTGTAGATATAAATACAGTAAAGGTAAAGGTAAAAATATGGGGACACCAGCGATGTACCATAGGTCAACTGGTAATGCCTTCCCATACTAACTCTTTGAAAAAAAAGGGGGGTTAATTGCAAGTTTTATAAGAATTTGCATAGACTGAAGCTTTTCAAAAAGTCTAGAGTTTGCGTATTATGGTACATCGTGCAATTCCACACTACGCCCCACATCCAGTATTTATTAAAAATAATGGTGTAAGGCATAAGTAGATTACAAAATAGTCAGAATACGATTTGAGATTCACAAGATAAATAGAACATCTGATTTGGCGCAACGAAAATAGGAGATAAACATAATTAATAAACAAATAAACATAATGACATAATTATAATAAGTACTGGCAACACAATGTTAAAATGAATTGTTATAATAATGCTAAAGAGGTGGGTATCCATGGGTTATTTCAAATATATTGGTTTATTGCAGTTTATAAAGTTCACGAGCGGAGCCATTTTGTCCATAATCACAGCATGTAAAAGTTCACTAAGTTTAAGTGGAATTACACTTGACACAGATCTAGGCCGTAGGAAGAGAGTCGCTGCATAATATATAAATACAGTAGTTGGCCAACATTGTGTTACAGAATCGCTAATAGAATCAATATTGTTGTAAATTTCTGTAAATACTATTTAAATTCTACTGGCGCTTATAACGTTCCTTATCATTCATGGGCGCTTAATATCCTACTGTCAAATGCTTGATTTTCGGGCCATAACGTATATTCCTTAACGCTTGTAAATTATTCTTACTTTTGCATCGCATCACTTTTAAAGTAACATTTATATCGTTTATAATTGATCCTCACGTTTGTGTCGAATCACGTTTTACAGTTTACAGCTTATTTTTATGACTTGTAACTCATTTTAAAGAATTTTTGAGCTGGTAACGTATATTATTTATGACGCTCATAATGCATATAATGCATAACGTTTATAAAATATACTTACGTTTTCGTCGAAACACTTTTACAGAGTATAGCTTTTGAAATAACGATCGACACTTATAACACTTACTACTCACAACGCTCAATTTTACGTGGATCACTTTTGCAGTGTATCATGTTCCGAATAACAATTATAAGACATATAACGCTTATAACAGTTATTACATATCCTCACATTTGCATCAATCTCTTTGGCGGTGTATCGTTTTTCAAGTAACAGCTATAACGCATATAACGCTTAAAACTTATCTTCACTTTTGTATCGAATCAGTTTTGCGATGTATCACTTTTCAAATAGTGCACGAATGTTTATAATACTCAAAAGTACCACGTTGTCGAATGACTGCTTCTCGGACTATAATGGCAGATACAGGAATTGACTACATTTCATATATATCACAAAGTTTTCCGAATTCTCATAATTTTTACAAACCTACATTTCACTCTATTTTCGCATATATAAAATTCAGTGCACGGAAAGTTACATGTTTAATTCATGTTTTATGACAAGTCTTTTAAATGCAGAAATATGTATTCATTTTGCTGTGCAAGTTAAATGAAATTATTACTATATCAATTTGATATTCATTAAATTTTGTACAAGACTTCATTTCAGAAACACTAAGTTAATATAATGTACACGGCAGTAATCAAATCAGAATGATTAATACGATCCATTATTTTTTTCCAAATACGAAATGTATTAAGCATGACGCATTAATGGCATTTACAGATGGAATAAAATTAAAAAGCTTATAAAAGTGAGAAGAAAATTTCTAATTTCATTGTCGAAAGAGGGATGTGGCATATTGCGGCAGAGGTGAAACAACTCTTTGATGCCTGTCAACGGAAAATTGCTGATGAATTATAGCAAACTACAAACACCTAAATACGTACTGTTAATGGTATAAGGTATTTCTCCCGCCTTCTTAGCGTGCCTTCGTGGTGTGGTGGTCTGCACAATGGGCGCATATTCCAGAGGTCCGTGGTTCGATTCCCGGCGAAAGAGTGGTTCATTTTTAATTACTCCTGCTACCAAAATACCTAATATCTATACAGTCGCGCCCGAAGTAAAAAAGTGGTAGATGGTGATTCTCCACACCCAAGTTTTCGTTTCATATTTTCACGAGTTGTGTGAATTTATTTTGTTTTTAGATGTTTTTATACTTAAGTGTCCATATATAAATAATTATATCATGTATTTGATTTAATATGAAGACTTAGGTTTCTTAAATAATGCATATTTGTTCGATAAAAACATACTTTTATTTTTAATTTTCTCAAAACTATGATTTTACTCACTGCGCGCAGCATTTCTAACGGCTAGTTTAAAGTGCACCAAATTTTATATGGATGTTTATATGCTAGATATGCTTAATATGACGAACCAAAATGGTTCTTATATAAAAACGTTTAAAATTCTAGCTAATTTATGCCAAAACAATTTGATAAAAATTTAAATTTTGTTTTTAAAACTTATTTTTGTAGGGAAGGATAATTTTAAAGATACATTATTTTTCTATCATATGAAAAAAATTGGGTTCCTCTAATGCTTTATATAGTTGCGATGCTGCGAGCAGTGAATTTCAAAATATTGGCTATAAAAAAAGGGCTGTACATTAAAATATTTATTTAAAAGTTTTACTAATCCACATAACTTATTATTTAGTAATCTTCAACAAATAACTAAGGGTACCAATATGTGTTAGAAATTTCATTTTTATGGAGCCGTTAGTTTTGGAGGTACATCACTTGTAAATTCAGTACTTGTCACTTGTGTAATTTTTTTGACATATTTTACCATTCAGAAGGTACCCATCCCTTAAAATGTTTCTACGTTAAGTCTCAATATCTGACGCTATTTGTGTCGTATATCATTTCGCCCGGTATGGCTCAGTAGGAGCTAAACGTAGCTTTAAGTATTATTATGTTATCAAAATGAGTATCTACTATTTGCATGTAAAACAGGTAGCTTAAAACCATCACGAAAGGAAAGAAAATGATGTGACGATAATCGATTAATTAATATCAACTGCATAGCATCCTAATTTTATTTTCTAACTGTACACTGCAAGTCTTTTGTAACGGGCAAGTGGGCTCTTTAATAACATTTTTGTAATAGGATTTTATTAACATTTCGGTCCTTCGAACTGACATTTCTTAAGCAGAAGTTCCAATGTTATTTACAATTGACAATAATCGTAGCTGTGTACATTCATTTAACGCCTTATCATAAAATTAACGGAAATAAATGAAATCAAAATTTTAATTAGTACAAAGCCGACGAAGGCTGCTAGGCTTTGAAACTCTCTCGAATTCTGCTTAATGAGAAAATATATCTGTATCGGTTGATATTTATCTTTTATAATATTATTAACTGCACCACAGAAGAAACAATAAGATCTGTTTACAGAATATTTAATTTAGCTTTCTAGCAGCTTTAAATAAAATATTTTACTCAATTTTAATAAAGACCTGGAGAAACTAAACTAAAACTAATTTAAATATTGTTGGGGTTTAATAATATTATATATCCTTGGATATATAATATTAAACCCCAACAATATTTTGTTGGATACTCATACAGTTTTATTAGAGCGCAGTTGGTATACATTACATATATCGGATTGCATTTCGTAAGTTTTTTCTTAGGTCAGAATCATTTTTCAAAACCAATTTCATCACACGACGTAGAGAGTTTTAGAAGACTTTAAGGAGACAGCAATCTAAAAACGTTTTCTCTAAT